AGTTGAAAATATCTTCTGATTTATAATCTTTAAGAATATTCCTTAACTCTACTCTCATTTGAGGGATTTGTTCTATGAGAGCACTCTGAGATTCTCCATGTTTATTATATTCCTGAATCGAGTATCTTTGCTTAAAATTATGGAGCCAACCAGATGATGCTTTAGAGTTACTTATTTCTAATAATTCTGCAAACCTTAAAGCCTTTGTTGTATAATGGAACCAGTGATTGTTGTCAAATTACATTCAAGAGCCTTTTCAATTCATAATATCAACGGTTCATCAATCTTAGCAGCAGGTAGAGTATGTGCTCTTTTTAATTTTGATTGATGGGAATTTGGGTTGGTATTAAGCCATCTTTCAGGCTCTTTTAATATATCACATACTTGACCTGGACTAATCCCATATTGTGCTGCTAATTCAATATTCTTTGGTTGAGGTTTATTTCTTTTTAATAAGCATATTTCTTTTTTTTGTTCAGCTGTAATAAAGTTTTGCTTTCTAGATGATGATGTTTGTTATTTTATAAATAATTTTTTTTTAATACATAACCATCCAAACAACAAGACTTGTATTTATACCTTTTAGAATTGTAAAAATATTAAATCATATGTTTTATTACAATTTTTAAATAATGTATATTTTATTTTTAAATTATGATGCAATCTTTCAACGTTTTACAATAATGGATTGTACGATTTTTTTAATCGTAACACATTTTTGTCAGATCATTTATCACGTGAATTCGTTGTAACGCGATTAGTAACTATAACTAATATCAAAATTTTACCAAAAATAAATTCGATATAACAAAAGTTTTTTATTATTAAAAAAAAAAATTTTTTTTCAAAATTCGTTGTAACAAAAATTCGTTATGACAAAATTAGTTATAACAAGGTTCGACTGTATTATTATACAATAAGAATTATCATTCATAGCATCATTACCTATTATCATCAGTTAATTGATGTTGATTTTTTTTGATGGTCGCATAACAATGATTCTAGATCTATTATTTGAAGAAGACAAATAAATATTGACACAATGTTATTATTATATACAATAAAAATTATCATTAATATATCTCGCATAACAATAATTCAACCATAGATTCATTTTAAATACAATGTTAGAAATCTGTATTATGTATTATTTCAAATGAATTTATAAAATGAAATAAGCTAATAATTCTAATTATATCACTCAAAAGATCTTTATTTCTGCTCCTTAACCCTTCCTTATATTTTAAATATAATGTAGATTAGTAAATAATAATAATGTAATAAAAAGAACAAATCTCTCATCAAAACCTAACTAACTCTTGTGCAGATTTGGAGCCCATAGTACCTTTGTTGTTGCAACACTTGAAGTCCAACACATCATTTAAGAGGTATTAGCAAAAAAAACTTAATTTATAATTAAAATGAAACTTGATAGAAAAAACACTTTTTTGAAAAAGGTCAATGAAATAAAACTTTAGACGTAAAAAATCTTCACGCTACTTCTCTTTCACCTTGGGGAGCCAAAATTCTTTGGATCAAAAAGTGTATTTATTTTATTTGAAAAGTTTACAAAGTAAAAACATTATTTTGTTATATAAAGCGTTGAATTTATGAATTTTAACGGAGGGGAAATCTTGGTGTGTAACATTCGTGTTGAATCCCCTAGTCGTTAAATTCTTGTCCTTATTTAGTGCTAATTGTCGTTGATCATTCTGGTAAATGAACCAACCTACTACTTACTACCTTTAAACCGTTAATAACTTTTTATTTCAAGAATAAAACTATAGTTTTTTCTTTTATCTTGTTTGATTAGCGAACCTATACATTTAAATCTGGCCAATATTTTTTGATGCATACATCCATTAAAAAATTGAATCCTCTCGACATTATGCATATGTTGAAAGAATAAAATTTACGTGGAAATTGGTTTGAAATTATTATCATCATGGAACATAAAAAATGTACAATTCTAATTCAAGAAATACCACATTGTAACGGAAAATCGTTTAAATACTCTGGATTCCTTTTTCCTTTATAGATAATGTAAACATTCTTTATTTCCTCAAATATAATTTTCTTTTGGTAAATAAGGGAATTAGGAAATAAAAATATAAAATATTTTAATAGCCGAGTGAAGAAGTCTACACCTCTTTGAATCACCAGCCACCAATACAAGATTACTTTTGATGAACAGATCGTGTGTGACAATTCTATATACTATCTTTATATGGTAATTCTTCATGGTTATGAATGTCAATTATCCAATCATTTTGTCCTTGTTTCAATTCATTTAATCATATTTAAACTCAATGGAGCTTATTCTTTTTTCTAGAATGTATTTCCTCATCTATTCCATTACACTAGCCACAGAAACTAGCCACAATTGTAACCAACGAACTAAAGAAATTTGATTTTGTTCTTTTAATATAAATAGATCAATTTTGATTTTTTTAAAAAAAATTCTCAACTTTAAATAATAATTTCGATGATTTTATTTATATAATCATGCAAAGTCAAAATCCCACATATATCGATCCTTCCACCATAATTAATAATACTATATTTTCCTCCCCTGTTTCTTCTTCTTCAACATCATCAAACATTAACAATATTTATAATAATAATAATAATAAAAGCAACAATAACAATATAATCTTTACTGGCAGAAAGAATGTAACAATCGCGTGTGACATTTGCAAGAAACGTAAAATTAAATGTTCGTTTGGTACTGCGCCGTGCGATAATTGTTTAAAACACGGAACTACATGCAATTTTACAACTGATCGAAAGAAACGAGGACCTCAAAAAACCAAAAAATATAATAATAAAATCAAAAACAAAGTTAATAGAGAAAATATTTATAAGAAAAAAAATTTTGAAATTATTCAATGTAACGATTTATTTTCTCTCGAAAATAATGATGTTAATAGTAATGATGAATTTAACATTGGACAATTTGTTAACGGTGAATTTTTTACTTTTTTAATTTTTTTTTAAAGAAAATTTCATTTTTCTTAAAAATATTTATTTTATTTCTTCCGTTTAGATAATAAAGTTGACTTGCAATATATAACAACAACATCAGAGTCTTATTTGTCTAGTTTCGATATAATAACCTCATTACCTTACAATAATGTCCACGATAATAATTTAACCGCGATCACCGAATTTCAGCAAGAGACTAATAATCCTGTTTCTCAAATTTCAATTCCAAACTTGTCCTCTTCCTCATCTCCTGCGCAACATCAAGAAACATCAATGCAATTATTAGATTTTTTTTCATTTAAATAAATATTTTAAATTTTTAAATTCTTTCTTCCCTGTAAATTTATTACTACATAATAATAAACAGTTTCAAAATCCATCCAAGTTCATTTTTTTATTAATAGATTAATATTACAAAGTAAATGAATTTGTATTAACATTTATATATAAATAATCTAATGTACTCAATTTACAAGTGTATAAAATATAACAATAAATTAAATCAAATTACCTTCCTTATATTTATATAAATAATAAAAAGAAATTATACAATATAATAATAATGATAAACAAAAGAAAAAAATATTGAATGTAAATCAAAGGGAGGAAAAATATACACCAAAGAATTTAAAAAAATTTATATTGATAAAAATAATAGTAGTACGATAATTGTTGCACGTGCACTATTACCTACTATTATGCTACTACTATTATAATAATCTAATTTAAGCTTTTTTAAAATAATTGTGGCTATAAGTGTTTGAACGCTTTCTATGATTAACATCCAGGGAGAAGCGAGCATCTTGAGGCGAATACCTAGCATCTTGAATTGAATATTTTACATTATGACTAGCATAATGTGTATCTTCATTTGAATTCTGTTGTATGAATTCTCTTGGTAGGCAACGTGAATTAATAACTTGCTGTTTCCTGGTGTTTATTGCTGGAACTTGCTGAGCATCTTGCATGTGAGCCATTGTTCTTTTTATGGTAGCTGATAGTGGAGGAACTACATTATTATTTGCAACGTCTCGTAAGTTCGGTACGCTTCTTTTTAAAAATTTTGTAGCGAGTGAATTATTATTATTACGAATGTTTGGGATACTTCTTCTTGGACCCAGTGAAATATTTTTGTTACCATAATCAGACCCAGAAGTAAAATTAGGTGATAATACTGCCGAATTTGCAGGATTAGAAATCGATTTAGGTGGTATAGATATAGATAATGGAGAAGGAATTGAAGGACGTCTAGATTGTAAATCATGTAAATCACGACTTTTTTTGGATGTTAAGGAATGAGATCGTTCTAGATTTATTGGATCCGGTCTATGTTTTGATTCATCAGAATTACGTTGTTGATTTCTTTGTCTAACTTTAAACCTTCCATTATTATCAACACTATTCTTATTATTATCATTATTATTATTAGTAATATTATGTTTATCAACTTCTGTTGGAACTATATTTTCATCGTTAAAATGATTAATCCAACCGTCAGAACTTTGTAAACCACCATCAAATCCATGAAATTCTTGTTCCATATTATAGCTCCAAAAATTTATTCCGCCTTCGTTTATTGGTGTTGATGGTATAGAACTTAATTCTTGACTATCAACATTATCTTGGGTCCAAGCACGCCCTTGCTTCCATGTATTTTCAACATTGTCCCATTTTTGATCATTATAGTATTTCATGTTCCAAGTTTTCCCAATTGATTTTTTATTTTTTGCTTGGTGATAATCATTTTTTTTTCCTGAGCGATCATAGCCACGATTGTTGTTATTATTATTATTATTATTATTAAAGTGATTGGTATTATTTACATAACCAGTTTCTTGACAAGGTAAAGAATAAGCTCTTTGTTGTTTTGGTCGATGATGATGATGATTGTAATGATGATGATTGTGATGATGTGATGGTATGGGTGACTTGTTATGGTGATTAAAATTATCTAAATTGTCGTTAAAAGAATGTTCATTTGTGGGTGTAGACCTTACAGATTTTGATTTATAATTAACATTGTTCCCATTCCATGAACAACCTTCTTTCCATGCATTTTCAATAGCTGCTACTTCTTGATCCCAAACTGCACCAGGATTTTTTGAAATGAACCAAGCTCCTTTTGCTACGGGTCGTTTAATATATACGGATTTTTTATCATTACGATTTCCATGATGATCACAATCTCTATTATTGTTATTTTTATTATTGTAGTTGTTGTTGTTGGGTTGATGTGTATTATATACATGAGCAGGATCTCCATATGGCAAAGAATATGTTCTTGGAGGCGATAATGAATCAACCCCTGATGAAGTTAACGAATTTGTTCTAGGTGGGATATTAAAAGAATTTGAACGTTCTTTTGTAGTAAAATCCTTGTTCATTCGTTGTCGGCTTGAAAATTTTTTAGCACGATTAAATGGTGACAGTGGTGCATTATTAAATGATACATCATCAAACCATTTAACTTCTGGTACTACTAATTCTGCCTCAGAGCCAGATCCTGTTGTCTCACTAATAATTAAATAAAACAATCCATTGATATAAATATAAATATAAATATAAATATAAATATAAATCCACATATATATACATATAATAAATAAAAACATACGATAAAACTTTTTTTAAATAATCATAATCTGGTTTTTGGTCAAAATCCAATTTTCTACAATAATTTAGATAAGTCATAAATCCAGTCGGGAGGCCTTCAAATAATTCAACAAGTGATAGTTCTTCTTTCATTCTTTGCATTTTTGCCCAACCTTGTCGAGAATTACGCGCTATAACGCCAGACCATGGAAGTGAGCCACGTAGAAGCTCCAAGAAAACATAACCTAATGATTCCATGTCATCGCGTCTTGTATGATCTAAAAAATAATATTATCATCATCATTATCACGGTTTAGAAAACGTCATATCAATGTTATCAACAACAGTGATAAATAACATACAATATCCACGATGAACATTTAGAGCAGCATAACGAGCAGTGCCAGTTTTACTTTTCAACATTTTTTGATTTTTTTGAATATGGAATCCGGTTTTTTGATCAACGTAATTGGTTGATAAACCAAAATCCACTAAAAATACTTTATGTTTTCTTCCAATTAAAAGTTGAAAGTCGCGTAATTTTGATTCAGGAGTTTCGTCAAAAGTATTATACATTAGTATCCTATCTGATGATATAGGAAAACATTTTTCCAAAAGAAAATTATCAGGCTTTATATCTCTATAAACTATCCCTTTATTGTGTATGTATTCTAGAATTGACACCTATATAAATTTTTGTTTTTAATATAAAATAGATAATAAATTTTTTAAATTAAATAATTTTAACTAATAATAATATACTGCAAATTCTTCTTATCAATTAAACTAATAGATACCATTTGAATGGCAATATCACTTATGAAAGCTACTGGCAAAGAACGAAATGCTTGATTTAAAGAACGCAAACTTGGACCAAGCAAGTCCATCACAATGCAATTCCAAGCAGACTTTTCTCCAAACCAGTGAACCTTTGGAATGTGATCTATTTTAATATATAAGCATTTAATAAATTATTCTAATGATTCTTTTAATAAACTTGATAGAAAGAAATTGTTTGTTTAAAAATTTAAAAGTAAGAATACCATAACCATCTAATAATTTCAAAGTTTTGTATTCGTGTGGTAGTTGGGGATCTTCTATGGATGTAGCTTCTCTCTTTATTGCATATAATTGTTTGGTTGTAATATGCTTTGCTAATGTCAAAATTTAAGCGTATGTACATATAAGTATGAATACAATAATTGAAGGAACATGCAAAAGTATTTTGATAATAAATAAAGTAATACCTCGAAAGACCTCGCCGAAGGATCCCTCGCCGATTTTTTCTTCAACTAACCAGTATCCACCAACAACTACGTCATCAATCATTTTTTCGTAGTATATGCGTGTTTAAATGCCGGAAGAGTATAGTACGTAGATATACCAATTTGCAGTCAACACAAATTTAATGTAGGCGGATATTGGTCGTTCAAATTGAAAATCTTTGAGAGCTCTTTATGACAAAGTCTATCGAGCTCTTTTTAGTATCAATGATTAATTAGTCGGTAACAATTTTAATATTTATGTAATGTGAATATTAAAAAAAAGGGATGTGCGCGTGTAAATATATAAACATATATTTGAAGAGATATGATTTTTAAAGGCAGCAAAGTGAAGGAATTAGTTGTTTTTTTTTTGAAAATCACTCGCTGTTAGAAAAAAAGGTTTTCCTTTAATAAACAATACTAACAAAACTATTTATAAATCACTGTTACACGATATAATATTTAATTAATATAATATAAATATATGTAGATATGGGAGGACAAATAAAACAATTTTACCTATAGAGATTAAATTTTAATTAAATGGGATTGACCAATTAATGGAAGTCGACGATCCGTCTATTAATCAGATATTTTTTTCTTTTTCTCAAGTCTTGGTGTTTCCGCTTGTTAACCAATGTCAAAATATAAAAGAATACCTTATAGCACCTGACGAAATTGATTGAGATATCCATCATGGCCCATTTGCCATTTATTAGGTGGAATTTTATTAAGAAAATACAAAATTATGTTATCCAATAAGAATAGAAGAATTTATTATTCGAATAGTTGTAAATACAAATGATGGTATGAAGCCTGGTTATATATGTGAGGCAGATAACGATGCAATGATCTATTCAACACCAAATGAAGTGGTTATAAAATTTTTTTTGATAAAACAACACGTTATTCTGGAACAAGCATTTTGGGTTTTTATGATAAAATATTTGTTGAACAACTATGGAAATGTTTTATTTTTTCCATTTGAAATTGTTACTAATGGTATTAAAGTCTTGTATAACACTTGGTAGTTTAGATAAAGAAGAGTTGAATTTTGCAGGTTCTGGCTATTGCTCGTCTTTTCATTACAAATACTCTGGAAAACAATCTACATATATTTCAAGGAAAAATAGTTTGTATACATATTGGAACAACTCTTACTGATGTTTGGGAAAAGTTTCTTATTTTGAAAGGTATTAATAGAAGGGAATTATTTGGTTTATGTGATCAACTTGCTATACAAGTAATTAAAAACATATAGATGCACTTTATTGCACATTCTCTCTCACTGAGATGATATTGAAATCATGACAAACGCATTTAAGAGATGTCTTAAAAGAAAATATCAGTCGTTAACATATACTGGTATCAATTTTTTACCAAACGAAAGCAACAATCAATAACCATTATAGAATTTACTTCACATATTTCTTCTTTTTATTTCAGAAGAATCTGAGACTGCAGATATTATATTAAGGTCATGGAGAAGAATGATATGTTATGTTGGATGCACTAATATAATTCCTTATGAAAAAGATGTATCGAGAGTTCACCAGCATGATGGAAATTCGATTTATCACGTTTATCACTTTGTGACGATCTCGAAATTATGTTGCGTGACTATATAATTTTAAAGTAGATTTGTATATGTAAAATCACGTTTTCAATTGACAAAAAAATTATTTACATAATTATATTCAAATAAACTTTATAATTATATGTAGGATGTCCAGGATTATGCTTTTTTTTCCAAATTATGCTTTTATATCGTAGTTATTATTATCTATACTAAGTGTCGTATAATATATCTGTCCGTTTAAAAGTGATTTGATTGCCAGAGAAAAAAATAACCTAATTAAATCACAAATTATTAACTAAATAATAAAATACATAAATGCAGAAGAACCATATGTTTTCCCCGGGGTTCTTAAAATAGGCTTAGGAAACATAATTAATAAAAGTTGATATTCTCCAGCATTGCTTAACGTCTTTTAATTAATTATTAATATAAATGACACGTAACTCGCTGTCCGTAATGTATCAATTATTTTTTATGATCTGCAAGTGTCCACTCATATATGTCCAGGCACTGTACATCTATAAATGTATCATGTGACAACATCTAACAAATATTGTTATAATTAATATTAATATAATAAAATTAAATAAATTTTATACCTTTTTAAAAAAAAATGGATGAACAAATACAAGAAATCTTTGATGATCAAGAAATAGGCAACTTCCACTGAGATAATTTTTACATCAACCCTGATGAATCAATTATTCGTTTTTTTTTATTTTATTATTATTATTATATATTTATTTAATAAAAAAATTGTCGAGAAAAAATTTCACGTGATATATTCAAAGATCTTTCCTTAAAAGGAAAGATCATCCAACAGAGAGGCCCCATCCCTAATGATAATGAATGCTATAGATTTGAATCAAAGCACGATTCGTTCAAGCCTTAAATAAAGTTGTTAAAATAATTTTTTTTGGAAAGAAAATTAAAATTTTACCAATTATAATAAAAAAAATTTTTGATTTTTTTTATTGTATTGAACATTTATATAAGTTGATATATCTGAAAAATAATTAATTCTTAACTTTCGAGTTAAGAAGTTTCAATTTGATATATAAATCAAATCTGAACTTATTCAGACTCGTCAACTAATTTGCGTTACACATGAATACTTCCAATCCATGACTATGCTGTTGATCACAATTGATTATTACCATTGTAGATCGTTGGAATCGTCATACTAGAATTAAAATAAGAAGATATAAAAAAATTATTTATTTAGATTAAATAATAAATCTAATACTTACCATTTCTCTATAATTCAATCGTTTTCCTCTTGTTCTTCTTTCACTTTTAATGATATTTGATGTATCAAGACCCTCGGCTTCTTCTTCTGTTAAAAATATGAACAATTATAGCAATTATATAAGTTTTGAATAACTATAACAATAGTAACTATCTATAACTTACTTAAATCACCTTCATCAACTACGTCGGAATAATTGTAATCGTCGTCATTATCATCGTCGTTATCACCAGTATTTTTTTTTTTTTTGCCCGATTTACTCCTAACCACTATTTCTGAATCTTCATCACTAGAATATTTCTTTCTTTTTGTTGATTTTGGCTGTTAAATAATAATAATAATAATCAACAATCAATCAATCAATCAAAATAATAAATAATAACAATATAAATCACCGTTGATTTAGAATTTTTAGAACTTGATTTTTTTTTATTTGGTGCAGCTTTCTTTTTCTTTTTCTTATTACTTGAATCGTCTGAATCTTCTAATGAATCATCAGATATTTCGAATTCTTCATCGATTTCATCACTTTCTGTCAAATCATCTGACCGTAAAGTAATAAATATATTGGCAAAAATTAATTAGTATACTCGAACAATTATTGATTTAAAAAGCAAAAAATTTTTTTTGATAAAGTATCAATAAATGCTAACTAATATATATATGTGAGTGAGTAATGTATGTGTATGCATATATATATATGAAATAATTTATTATCAAAATAAATTTTAATATTTATCTAATAATCTCAAATAAACAAATAAATAGTAATCTTTTAAAAATAAAATAACAAAAAAAAACCTTTATCATCATCATCCACAATAAAATCATCATGGTCATCACGAATCGATCTACCGCCTTTTTCTAGTTGTGAGGTTGATCTTTTGGGTGTAGTCTTAGTTAAAGGACTAGCTGATTTTTTAGTTGTTGATGAGGTTCTGGAGGTAGTAGCAATAGTAGATTTTGGGGGCTTTTTTTCCTTTTTCCTTTTATTATTTTTTTAATGTTTTTTTTTTGAAAAAAAAAAAAAATTAAGTATAAAAAATTTATATTTATCGTCTTTCTTTTTTCCAATAACAAACTCTATATGATAGTTGAACGCAACTCAAGTTTTTCTTTTTCAGCTTCAGTTTGTGCTTTACGTCTTGCAGCTATTTGTTCTAATTTTTTCTTTTTTTCTTCCGCTGACATTTTTTTTTTTGTTTTTTTGGCTTAAAAAATAGATGGAAAGATTATTTCTATGAAACGCGTTTAAAGACTTGAAAATAAATTTTTTTTATGAAAATAAAATTTCATTTTTGATTTTGATACTTTTTTAAATCCAATCAAGTTGGGTAAATTCCATGACGTCATCTTTATATTCGGGGGTTTTTCGATAGAAAAGGACCATAATGTGAATAAAAGTAATTTTGAGTTAATGCTACCACCGTTACTATATACAACTCTTCACTTGGATTATTTTTAGATTAGAAGTCATACCATTTTGCATGGTAAATTTTGAGATATTTTTATTTTAAAGTTTTAAAAATCAATAGTGAGTTCCTTTAAATGCAGTCTTTAGGCCCCATTTATTGAAGAACAATTTGTATTAACAAAATTAGCCACAAACCTTAATTTTTTACCAGCAATTTTGACGCATTGGACTTATTCCCACTTCTGGAAAAAAAATTAGAGAGAAAAGGCCCAAACTGCAAAATCGTAATTTTGAGAAAATTGTAAAAAAAAGATTTTGACCCAAAAACTCGGAAATCGCATATCATTTCTATATTTATGACAAAAATCAGGGGTTATTTTAATAATAATAATATAAAAACTTTAAAACTTATATATACAGTGAACCCTCTATAAGTGCACCCCCCTCGGGAACATAGTGCTATTTCTTGTGAGCGTGCATTTATGGAGGGTGTGCATTTATGGAGGGTGATTTTATAAGCTCTCTATAAGCTTGGGGATGAGGTGGGCCATGCATTTATGGAGGGTATACATAGTGCGTGCATTTAGGGAGGGTGCACTTAGGGAGGGTTCACTGTGATAGAAAGTTTTTTTATCAGGATTTTGAACATGTTGAATGATGTTTTCAAGTATATATTTTTTTCTATCAGAAGTTAAACCTAAAGGATATTTTTCTTTTAAGACAGCATCTATAGTAAAATTTTTAGTTATGTCTTTAGCTATTAGTTCACCATCAATACTTTTTTTAACATATACAATCCCTGGCTCTTCTTGATTAAAAATAAAATGATGATAACTTAAAATATTTGATAATGGTTTAAAAATTTTTTTCAAATATTCAGTCCAGTTGTGAAAAAAAACTTTTCTTTCACCATTTTCATAAATTGTTTGAGCATTATTGTACCCACCATTTAAGTTTCAATTTAAACAATCCAAAAAACCCATCAGGGCTAAATTTTGTATGGCCAGTTACCATAAAATAATATGTAATTCTTTTATGCTTACCTGTTAACACTCTCCAGGCCAAATATTGGATCATTGCATTTTTTTTATTTTGACCAGAACAATTATCTGCATGAATTATTATTTCTTCCTCACCAAGACTATATTGTTCAAAATAATTATGAACTAAAGAAATCACAGTATCAGCTCCCTTACCAATATACTGTGATTCTTCTATAAGATAATTAATCTAAATAAATAATTATAGTTATATACTGTATTTCAAAGAGTTGACCAAAAATTTTCAAAGAATTATTATTTCACCTGTCTAGGCCTAAAATCCTCACAAATGCCAAACACTTGAAGATTTAAAATATGTACTTGACCCTGTAAAAAATATACTCTGTGATTTGTCTCAGTGTTTTTCCGTTATTAAGCTCAGTGTTTTATCCGTTATTAAACTCAGTATTTTTTCCGTTTATATTAATAAATATACATTTCCGTGTTTTTTCCATAAATGTATCATATTCATGGAATCTATAATTCCGTTTTTTCATTAAAAATGGAGATTTCACTGAAT